AAGGAATTTTGGGTAGTGTTGAGTTTAGGAGAAATTGAAATGAAGTTTGAAAATGTTTTGATAGGCTCACAAGAAAGCAAGGCTGTATGTAAAGAGGTCTACATTACATCTGGACTGCAACATGGACCCAGGGTGCTGTTTTATTGAAAACTAAAAAGTTTAAATAGGTGTGTATTTGTAATTCAGTAGAAACTTCATTTGTTTAATATTATCTTTCTCCTTTCTTTTGAACTGGCTTAATCCAGCACCCTGATTCACCTATCTCCTTCTCTCTTGCAGGACTACTCCCTAAATCATTAAGCCCTCAGGACAAGGAGGTTCTGACCAACATCAAGTAATCTTAGGAACAAAGCCTCAGGTCTGTTGAACCCAGAGATGGATTTTTGGTCAAAATAGAGATAACATGTAGGCCTCAGCTGTGTTTCAGCACCAGAACAATCCCACTGACCACATCCTAGAGAAAACAGATAAAGCAATGCTATGACTGACATTAGGAATAGATGCATTGGTCAAATACCCCCTACCCTAGCAATGACCAATCAGTGGAAACATGACCCTAACTCTCTTAGTCACCAAAATTAATGACTTATCATCTGTATAACCCACTCCCTGATGCCATCAGGGAGCCAGGTCTTTGAGAATTACCTGACCTGTGACTCTGGATGAAGCAGGGGGTCCCGTGGGGGTGAGGCCAATGGAGTCCTAACGAAGCATGCCCGATTCCGGAGACCAGGTTCAGTGACGTAGATCTAAGTTTATTGTGTATGTGCAGCAACATATATAACATTCTGGACCAATCAGAAGTTTACACTATCCTTAGGGCAGCCAATAGTAGGAAAGATCAGGGTACTATGTAGGTGCTCTAGGAGGCTGGCTCAGGTGGGCACTGCCACTTCCTGGTGTGCTGAGGAAGCTTGTATAGGCGGAGTGCGCTCATGCCATTGCATCCGCCTCTGCACTGAGATAAATCTCCTGAGCTCTTCCCACATCTGGACATGGGCCACTTAAAAATAAACCCTCACTTTCTTTGCTGCAAATCTTGTTTGTGTCTTCTCTGGCTTTGATGCAGGCAGGCAAACAGACCCCTTTAGTCCAGAAATATATTGTTTCTACAAACCTCTTTTCTGACTGCCCCTGGGTTGGAAGTAGAGGCTATTTCTTTGTGTCAAAGTGACTTAGATTTTCTAGCCAAGAGTGGGATACTTCATTCTTAATGAAAGGATTTCAAAGAGCAAGTTTTTTTTCAACAATCCATTATTATATAGAAAAGGGTTATCTGTAAGTGAAAAAGCAGTAGTTTCTCCAAGTTGGAGGGTGGTTTTTAACACTATAGCATGTTCTTGAGAGAAATATTATTTTCTGTTAACTTTACAAGTGGCTTCTTTGTCTGTTGTCTATATCTGATAAATGGCAAAGGAGATTTTCATTTTCTTAGTCCAAATTCATTTTTCCTTTCTCATGTGTTTCAGCAAAATTTTCCAAACTTCATTAGGAACAGTTAAGCACATTTTATTGTTTGATTTAAGTACTTAATAGAGAGCTCCTTTTTCTGTTTTTTCTTTTCGTGTGTGTGTGTGTGTGTGTGTGTGTGTGTGTGTGTGTGTGTGTGTGTGTGTGTGTGTGTGTGTGTGTGTGTGTGTGTGTGTGTGTGTGTGTGTGTGTGTGTTTGTGTACTGTTTAAAAGTATGTTGGCTTAATTTTGTGGTTTCCCAGCTTAATTCCCTTCTCCAATCAGATCTCTCAAAGATTCACTCTCTCCTTTCCTTCATTCTGTTGCCCCTGTGCTATCAATGTACACACACACACACACATTTAATTATTAGTTCACTAGAGGCCCGGTGCACAAATTTGTGCACGGGTGGGGCTCCTAGGCCTGGCTGGCGATCCTGCTGGCCAGGGGGAGGGACCATGGGAGGTTGGCTGTGGGAACGCACTGTCCTCCAGGGGACAGCTCCTGTGTTGAGTGTCTGCCCCCTGGTGGTCAGTGCACTTCACAGTGACTGGTCAAACGGTCGTTCTGGTCGTTCTGGTCATAACGGTCACTTAGGCTTTTATATATATAGATTGGACAATTATTCTCTAAATTTGAAATGATAGAATTGTAAAGAGTTACATAAATTTCTTACCCAATGAGCTAATTATAAAATAGACAAAAGACAGAGACCAAGCGTTTCCAAAAAAGTCAATAATTGGGCAGAAGTTACCCTCTATTCATTGAGTGAAGATTCCAACTACTAGAGTTTAAAATGTTTAAGATTTAGATTGTAAAAAAACCAAAACCAAATCTGTTCTTTTCCCTTACAGCTACATTGATTGTACAATTACTATATTCCAAGAACTGTATTTAGTCTTTATGCTTGTATTTAAATTACATGCTATTTAAACTTTGTGGTATATATCGTCTGAGTTTATTTTGAGAAGTTAATTGGTGATTGTGGCAGCTACAGTTGGCTTCTGACCCCAAAACATTTCCCTTCTGCTTTCTCTCTCTCTCTCTATTTCTCTCTCTCTCTCTCTCTCTCTCTCTCTCTCTCTCACACACACACACACACAGGTGAGAAAAAAGAAATACAATTGTTTTCAGTTATCAGATGGCTAAATGTTCAAGGAAACTGAACACTACCTCCACAAGATAAAGCATACCTTTAAGCTGTTTAGGGTAATCCCCTTCTCCTTTGCAAGTTATTAGTTATTGTAATGTGTTACAATTATAGTCAATTTAGTCAATTTAGTTACAATTATAGTCCTTAGGAGGAAGTGCTGAAGTTCTGGGAAAGTGAGATGCATAATAAGAAGCCACCCTTTCTTTCTGCCTTTGAGGCTCCCAATTGGCAACAACTAACTTCTAATCACTA